TTAGGATATAAAAATGCACTTTCTCTACCATTATTGTCTGGCCGTTTGGTAACTAAATAAAGTTAAATAATAGTAGAAATATACTGAATGAATTAATTACCAAAAAATTTAATATTATTTATGTAATTATTAAATTCAAAATTTAGTTATTTATGTATTAGTTATTTTATCATTTATCATGCATAAAATAAGAAATAGATTCTCTTATATTATAAACATACATTAATTATGTAAGTTTCTAAATTATAAACTAAGCATCATATTAATCTTATATCTTCATGATAACTACCTCCAAACTAGCAAATAAATATGATATTACTTATACAAATTTTAATACTTGCATAACTCATCTTGAAACCTACTGCCAAACATTCTGCCCATACAAATTTTTATAATTTTAAAATTTAATAAGTTCAATATTAATTTCTCAAAATTTGAACTTATAAAAATTTAACCTTGAAGCCGGTTACGGCCTCTGAAAAGGGAATTTTTATATTCTCTTTTATATATAATCACCTATTTGTAGAGTACCTAACTCATTCACTATGCTACTTTCTTTTAAATATAAATAAATAAAAAGAGATAATCCTCGCCAAACCCTTGACATAATCTAGTTGGCTTGGATTTAATTAGTTTTTAAAAAATAAATAAATAATAATAATCTATATACTTAGGTTCTTTATGATAATCCCTGAGGCAAGAACTAAAATCAACTGTGAACTTCATCGTTAAATTCCTCATGGTTAATAGAAAATTTGATAATGTGTGGTTAAGTAAGATTAGCAATGAATCTTATGGTTTAACTACATACAAAATTAATCTGTCACTAATTTATACAATATTTTTTGTGGTGCACCGTGAGTGATATTCATTAATTATTAAGAAAAGTTTTGAAAAACATGTTGAACTTGGTGCAAATTAGTAGTTTCGTCCTCGAATTATTGACAATTTTAAAAACAGTCTTTTATTTGACTAACTATATTTAGATACACCCCGATCTACCACATGACATAACAAGTAGTCTCAAACTCTTGTAGGAGCATGGAGTCTTAATAAAAATCCGAGAGAAGTGTTGAAAACACTCTTAAACTTGACGAGAATTTAGGGGTGTATTTAACTCATGTTACAAAATGAGGATATGTTTAAGTTCAGTTAGTCAAGTAAATGAGTATTTTTAAGGCTGTCAATAGAGAAATAAATATTTTCGTCTCTTTATAGAATTATAGTGAAGAGTTGGCGTCCACGTCACTCCTCGGATGCTCCAGCTAGGCAAACCACCTTTAGCTTAATTATCCAGTACAAAAATTGCACAATAAATTCCAAATAAATAAATAAATAAATAAATAAATAAATAAAAACCAGCATAAAAGTATTATACTTTTCCCTTCATCCAAAAGCTAATTAATTAATTTATAATAAGCAAATTAAAAAAAACAGGCATTTGGAATCGTTTGCCCATCGTGATTGATAAATGTATAGTTAATCATCCTAATTAGTCAAGATATTTTCTTCTTTTTTCGTTTGTTTACTATTCTATTCCCTTGGTTGATAATACATAATGAATTAATACAGGCTAGATTTGCTGCTGAAAATTAGGATTAATTTATTGGTATATGCGGTTAGGGGCGTACAAAATCAAACCGAAAATCGAATCAAACCGCAAATTGAATCAAATCGAACAAAAAACTCGACTAGTGGTTTGGTATTGAAAAAAAAACCCGATTATATTTGGGTTTGGTTTAGTTTTAACTAAAAAAAAACAACCCGAGACCAAACCAACCCGACATTATATATGTAATTTTAAAATTTATTTTATACATAAAAATATTTATATTGATATAATTTTAAAATACTTCTTATACTATTTCATAGTTTTTATCTTTTAATATATTATTTCAAGTTTAAAACTTAGAATTCGAAATGGTCCAATAAAGATTATAGTTCATAGATGTTGATAATATAATTATAATAAAACTTAAGTCAAAATCAAAATTAATACTAATGCAAAAAGAAAATCAATTCAACACTAAGCATGACAATATTATTGAATATTTGTTCTTTAGTTTTACATTGGTTTACATAATCTAATTTTAATTTTCCTTAAATATTTAGTAATGTAACTAATACTTATTTTAGCATGATTTAGTACTTTTAAATTATGATCATTTTCATTATGACTTTGCAATATTTATTTTATATGATGATTTCATTATTATTTTTTATTGAATATTTTAGTGTCATTAGTACTCATCTCATATTTTGTGTTAATTTTTAATAAACACCTTAGATAATTGTATTTTGGTTGGACTAAAGAAATATTTGAAGGACAGGTTAACTATATGTTTGTATGCAAACTTTACGGAAAAAATCTAAAAATTTGAAAAAATCTGAGGTTTATTAGTTTGGTTTGGTTTATAAATTTAAAAATTCGACACAATGGTTTGGTTTATAAATTTGAAAAACCCGAACCAACCCGAGGTTGAAAAACCCGAAAAAATCCGAATTTTATTAGTTTGATTTGGTTTATAATTTAAAATTTTTACACAAAATGATTTGGTTTGTATATTTGAAAAACCCGAACCAACCCGGTCATGTACACCCCTATATGCGGTCAATGAAGTTAAAACTTGGACGTTATTAAGTGTTCGATTTGTATTGAGACGTAATTAAATTTATTTGCCTATGAAAATCTCAAATTAAAGTATTGAAAATTTAATTATTCTTAATTAATTTTTATTATTCATTTCCCTCAACTAAAAAGCTTTATATAAAATGTTTGACATAACAGAAAAATAGTGTGAATTCTATTTTTTACTATTCTCGATATCCTTTTATTTTATCATAACATAAAGTCAGTAACACATGAGATTTCTTCAGCATAAAGCAATCATCAACGAGTTAAAACTTTAAGCTTATTGATTCTAAATTTTAGAAAAAGAAATAAACTAAATTCGTCATATATATTAAATATTTTCAAATATAAACACAACGTCAATGTTAAAGCTATTGAATTTTATTGAATCTAACTCCAGCTCAAACGCAATCCATTTTGTCGTTGTTGCCAAATAATTATAATATTGCATGAAATAGTGACGTATAATATTGAATAGAGTATGTAGTTGCTAGAACATTATTGCCAATAAACATCAACACTAGTTTCTTATATTTTTTTATTTTAGAAGGTGCGGTCATGTATGACAAAGTATAAATATATAATATGGACTTAATTAAGTAAAATTGATCCACGGAGATTAATTAATATAAACAGAATATTCTAGGATGACAGTTTAAATTGAAGTTCTATATTTGTTTTTAGATAAACTAATACTCCCTCCATTCTATATTAATTGAATTTTTGAGGCATTTTTCATTTTTCAAATTAACTTAATTGTTCAGTTTTCAAGACTACTTTTAGAGTGTTCTTTCAATTTTACCCTTCATTTGGATTTTCAATGAGATGACTTCAATAAATTTGACAAAAATTAATAAGGATAAAAATGGAAATCTATGTTCAATTTATGTCTTAATCTACTTTTCTTAAATGGTGTGAAACACCTCAAAAATTTAATTAATATGAAATGGAGGGAGTATAGTTTAAGGCAAAATTAAAGTAGACCCCAAAAATGGGAATTGAAACCCTATTTGGTTAGTCATTCTGAGGTTCAAGTTTTGTAATGACCCTGTTAAAATTTGAGAATTGAATGAAAAACTACTTTATAAATAAAAAAAATTGAAGTCGATACAATAGATACATGTATCGATTAAAATGAATGAATTGTTCAAAGATACGTTTATCGAAAAAGGGCAAAGGAGATACTTCCTTCCACCCATGATATCAAAGACAAAGGAGTGGCTCAAGGCAATTCTTCCAAACAAAGAATTTCGGAGAAGAGGTTAACTGTTTTATCACTTTAAAGTTTTGTAAATTACCAAAATATGATATTTGTAAAATGTATCAATTCTTATTAGATATGTATCACTGAGACAATTAATAACACTAATACAAGTACCAAACTAAAAGTTTCAAATATGATATATGTATCTCTATTTTTATAGTTCTCTGCACAATATATGTTTTGTAAACCTAACACATATATCATTTGTATATTGTATCAAGTTTTAGTGAAACAAAAAATTGAACTGAACCGAACCAATTGAATGCCCACTACGCAGGAATTGGAGAATTATATGTGACAAATTCACCTATACAAGAAATAGATCAGGATAATGAAAATGAGTTTTGGATTCATGTTAATGGAACCATACTACGATTTACAATTCGGGAGTTCAAATTATATTTCCCATTTGAAATGCATCGGAAATGAAGATTTTGTTTTTTTCCTCAGAGAACAAAGAACACATTTTTTTTTTATAACCGAGAAATCTGTCTGTGACCCGCCCTTTGGATCAATCACAGCCTTCTAAATTCGGTGGATGATGGACCCGCCCCTCTACCCTTCTCCACTTAAATACCGGGCTTCGCTTTGCATGGTGTGGGGCTTGAACCTGCGACCTAAGCCACAAATCCTCCACCTTTTGCCACTCAAGCTAGGCCTTGGGGCAGAAAACAAAGAACACATTTATGCAAAAATATTTTGAAGACAGAATAAATGTCAAGAAATTGCCAAACAATGTGATTTTCAATTATTTCTTTAATTTGAAGCAAGTTTTCCTAGGAGTTAAAATTGCCAAAAGCCCATTTTTTGAATTCAGGATGAGCCCTCAAACAATACTAAGTTTAGAAATCTGGCCCAGAGAACGGAATGTTATTATAATATAATTTACCTCCAAAAATTGACTTCACGAAACTCTAGCAATATTTAGATTATAACTTTATAATCAAAGAAACTAAACTCTAGTACCTTTCACCTCTACATACAGTTAACCCAATTATATATAACTATCACTTTCAAGACTACGCTCCTAGTCTCGAATGTTAAAAACAATACTTCAAAATTCGGTCATATACTCAAAAAGCGAGTTCATCTGGAGATAACATAAAGCTGATAATAATGTGTGACTGGCTGTCTAAAAGCCTTTATTCAAGATGAGTTGCTGCGACAAGCCCTCAGCTAACCTTTATTAAGATGAGTTGCTGGGACAAGCCCTCAGCTAACTCTAGATGTATGAAAACCTTTATTAAGATGAGTTGCTGCGACAAGCCCTCAGCTAACCTTTATTAAGATGAGTTGCTGGGACAAGCCCTCAGCTAACTCTAGATGTATGAAAACCTTTATTAAGATGAGTTGCTGCGACAAGCCCTCAGCTAACCTTTATTAAGATGAGTTGCTGGGACAAGCCCTCAGCTAACTCTAGATGTCGAAAACCTTTATTAAGATGAGTTGCTGGAACAAGCCCTCAGCTAACTCTAGATGTATGAAAACCTTTATTAAGATGAGTTGCTGGGACAAGCCCTCAGCTAACTCTAGATGTCTGAAAACTAAAGACATAAACAACTGAAATCAAAACATAGAGGTTGTCCTCGAAAGATGAAGACTCACGAAAATGCAACTAAGCTGGCCAGGGATCGTACTAACATCGAGATGGATGCTGGACGTTCGGACCTATATAAAACAACATAGCACAGAGAGTTTTCGGTCAGTGATTTAAATGTACTGAATATGCGGGACATGCATCACATGTCTAATAAATTTAACAAGATAAATCTAAAGGACTGAACTGATAAGCATGAACTAATGCAATGATGACTAAGTAAAATAATGTACAACTGATAAGTACTGGACTGAAATAACTAAATACATAGTCATGCAATATCTGAGAAAACTAAATTGTGCCAGATATTAAAATTGAAATATAACCATGTGAGCTAGATACAGAGCTCGATGCTTAATTACCATAAAAAGGGATCAACATACCGTGTCAGGGTATACAAACTAATCTGATCTGACATTGTACCACTAAATTGATAATAGCCCTGTGGTGATACGTAATTTTGGGATTTAGAAATTGCTACTAAAGGTCTTAGTTGACCCTGACAATGAGCCTTCATCCACTCAGTACTACGTAATACTCCCAACCAAATTTATACTAAAAATATAATAATACTGAATAACTCATGATTACTGAAAATTGATGATTACTAAATAATAGACACGTTATCTCAAAGCATCTTATGCATATGAATTGAATAACAAAGAATAAAGTAATCATGAAAACCCTCTATATCTTGACTAAAACATGCAATTTAAAATATACAAGTCCAAAGGCATAAAATTTACTTGTTCTGAGGGCTCATGAATATGTACTAAAGTAAACATACTAAAATTCATGGAAAAACATATATGCTTATGAATTAGTAAAGAGAGGAAATGAGTTACTTCAAAATTCATAATAATCATAAGAATCCTATTACTCTATAAAATTAATTATCTGAAGATATAAGGTTTTCTTGAAAATCAATGAGTGAAAGGATACCTATTGATGAATTCTCATATACCTAAAAGAAATACACTTGAAGAGAATTTTGTAATTGAACTTGAAGGTGAGGAACCCTAATTTTTGCTTAAGATGAGTTTGATCGCAACATCTGATTGTTCTAAGTATTAGGCGTTGAGGGAGGGGTTTAAGTGGATTGGTTTTTCCTTAATTCTAATAATTAGGATAAGCCAAAACGACGTAGTATAGGAATTAGAAGAGTAAAAAGACTAAAACAATCTTGAAAGAAAAACTATCTAAAGGATCCACAAGGGCATCTACGGTGTGTGGTTCCATCTATGGTCCATAGATGCCGTCCGTTAAATACACCAATATTAACAGTCTCTGAAGTTCAATACACGAGACCATCCTACAACCCATAGTTTCATCAACAGTCTGTAGAATCCGTCTATAAAATGTTTTGTAGTAAAAATTAATAGCTAAGTTTTTCTGCACAACATTTCACGAGGCCAATTCACGGTCCGTAGTTAGATCCACAACCCGTGATTTGAGTTTATAAAACTCGAGTTGAAAATCAAATCTTTGAAATTGATTTATGAGTATCATCTACGGTCCGTGATTTCTCTTGCGTTTGTAAATTCTAAAATTTGCTGATTTGAATTTCTAAACTCCTCTTGATCTATTAGTTACGATATGATCTAGTCTTAAAATTTCTGAAGTGTTATATTTTTAATCCTTAATCATAGTTAATAAACATATACATTATTACCTTATTAGTCCACTTAACTATCGTAAATTCATATAGATTGATGTAACAGTAGCGCATGCAAGTATCACTCTATCTTTTTTATATCTAGCATTGTCTTCGAATCAATTTATTAAGTAGAATATGAAGAGACTTAGTCATATACTTGTGTTATCCTACTCCCAAGATACAACAAATAATTTAGTATTTTCTAATGTGCACTAAAAAAGTAGTTCTAGTTTTCATGTATTACATCAAAAACGTAATTCTATAGACCAATCATAGAATAGAATTGTAATGTAAACAAACCTCATATATATCATCAATAATCTTCCAACTGTGCGATGATGCTTGCAAAGACCTGGTAACCTTGAGACATGTCAAACAGTAGACAATATTCATTGTCTGCATGGTATGTATCCATAATGCCTGCATTTCACAAAATAGAGCAATAATCTCAATTAATTCTATGAGCATAAAAGGCCGTGCATGGAGGGTCGACCAGTGCTTGAACTAAGATTGTTTTAGAATGATAAAAACGAAAAAATAGTACCGTAACCAGTAGTTTGAACATCATAACCCCTGTCCTGTAAACAAATTAAATAGGAGTAATGAATAAGTGCATGTTATAATTACAATAAAAGCAAACAAGAAGATTTAATTTGAAAGAAAAGTTACAAACCTGGAGATCTCTTATCAATGGCAAACTACCAGTGATAGAATATGGTTCTACATATCCAACTACCTCTTCGGTAGCTTTGGATAGTACTTTATACCCCAGAGAATTGAGATCACAAGCAACGCCAGAATAAGCTTCATCGAAACTTATACTCATACTGCCCCTTATGTTTTCATCTGGGAGAACATATTTTGAAACAGGGCCTCGAGTATCAAGTTGTTCGATATTTGCATTCAAGTCATCAACATATTCTTGTAATTTCTTTAGAACATCTGATACACTGAAAAAGAAGGATATTGCATTGTTAGAATGTCTACTAATTTCAAGAGATTTGATTGTTCATTAATTTTAATCTTGTTTATAAAGGAATAATACATACTTGTAAAATGGAGTCAACCTACAAAAAAAATATAGAATTGTAATTAGATACTATTATCATTTGATGAATGATTACAAAAAGGCTTTAATTTGAAGAAGAAACTAAACTTACCTAACATCTCCAGAAATAGTGCACTCACCAGGAATTTGGTTGTTTCCACCCCCAGGATCTGCATGAGCAAATAATTTACTACTGTAATTCATAAAAACAATTGGAGTATGCTCAAAATTTGATAACTTACAAAACCATTGAGTTGGTTTCATGGTGGATGGTGCCTCAAATTTGTAGACTTGTTCTTTAGGATGGGGAGGGAAATCTCTATAGAAGCGGGTTTGAATTTCTTTCAGTGCTTCCATACCAAGTTCCAAAGCATTGATAGCCTAACCATTGAAAATTTTAGTCTAACATTTTAAACAATGTCATGTGATCTTCAGGTCTAAAAAATAAAGGAAAAGCAACAACGAAAATATTGGCATGCACATTATGAAACCAAACAATGAAAATTGTGACAAGGGTTGGAGAAAGGTTGTTGTGCTTGAGCATTAAAGTACTTGAGTTTAGTGGTGGGCGTTCGGTTCAGTTTTCGGTTTTATACCAAACCAAATTAATTCTGTTCGGTTTAGTTTGGTGTTTTTAAATCGGTTTTTTTGGTGTGAAAGAAAAATTAAATGAGGACAAAATCAAAGTATAAGATATTTCAAAATTTAAAACTATTTTAAGAAATGATGTGTCTCACCATGAAACACTTATTGTGCTAACTAAAAGATTATATTATCTTTGTCAAAAATATTGTGCCTCCAACTATTTCTCGAGAAAAACAAGAACGGAGACGGCTTCCTTTACATAATGTACATTGATAAAAAAATGTTTGGGTTCCTCTTGGAAATTAATATTTGAAGTTAACTATTGAATTGTGCATTTGTTGCTACTTCGATCTGTTCATGAATGAAGTTGTCTTCTTATTTTCAGTTAAGAAAATGCCATAAATAATATATATATATATATATATATATATTATTTATTTTTAAATAAAAGTTTGATTTTACGGTGCACCTAAATTCTGTGACCCTTACACCAAATCGAAAAATCAAACTTTTGAAAAAATAACACTGACATCGAAATGAAAAATCGAAGAACCAAATTAGTTCGATTCAGTTGAGTTTTTTGATTTTCCGGTATTTATGCCCACCCCTACTTGAGTTACTCTTATCTATATATATCTCTAAGATAACATCACAACCTTAAAAAGTCCTACATGATACCAATTAAAAGCCTTCTACTGTCTTGGAGAGCCACATTATAGATAAGCTTATAATACTACAATTTTAAGCAAACAAATTCATGTTTTTATTCGGTATTCACCCTAGGGTTTTCCTTTTTCAAAACAAAAAATACTAAGTCTAGAGGTTTATTCCTTCTAACTTAATAGCATTCACAATATAGTCTTAGATAGGGGTAGGCATAAATACTAAAAAATAGAAAAACCGAACCAACGAACTAATTCGATTCTTTGGTTTTGGTTTTTCGATTCGGTGTAGGTGTTATTTTATTAAAAGTTCGGTTCTTCAGTTCGGTGTAAGGGTCTCAGAACTTTGGTGCACCGAAGAACCGAACTTTTATAAAAAATAATATATATATATATATACACCAAAGAACCGAACTTTTATAAAAAATAATATATATATATATATACACCAAAGAACCGAACTTTTATAAAAAATAATATATATATATATATACACCAAAGAACCGAACTTTTATAAAAAATAATATATATATATATATACACCAAAGAACCGAACTTTTATAAAAAATAATATATATATATATATACACCAAAGAACCGAACTTTTATAAAAAATAATATATATATATATATACACCAAAGAACCGAACTTTTATAAAAAATAATATATATATATATATACACCAAAGAACCGAACTTTTATAAAAAATAATATATATATATATATACACCAAAGAACCGAACTTTTATAAAAAATAATATATATATATATATACACCAAAGAACCGAACTTTTATAAAAAATAATATATATATATATATACACCAAAGAACCGAACTTTTATAAAAAATAATATATATATATATATACACCAAAGAACCGAACTTTTATAAAAAATAATATATATATATATATACACCAAAGAACCGAACTTTTATAAAAAATAATATATATATATATATACACCAAAGAACCGAACTTTTATAAAAAATAATATATATATATATATACACCAAAGAACCGAACTTTTATAAAAAATAATATATATATATATATACACCAAAGAACCGAACTTTTATAAAAAATAATATATATATATATATACACCAAAGAACCGAA